CAATGGATACGCGTTACAGGGCCAGGCTGAGTTTCTGAGTGTTCAGTTGTCTCCTCTTTCTGATCAGTGGCTAGGTGCTACCGCTGAATTGCTTCTGTGGGTGCTCTGAGCAAAGTTCACCTCGCCCTGTTACTTTGGCACCTGCTGTGGCCCAAGGCCCTTGTTAGTTATCATATGGTGCATCAGGGACTTGTTGTGCTAATATAGCGTTTAGAGCACACTTGCTGATAGCCCAGGGGGTTGCGCAGCACTTGGGTGTTACTGTGATCCAGCTTTCTCCCCTACCTTTTGTGGTGCAGATTCAGTGCCAGGCCAAGGTGCCACCTCAGAGAGGCTGGCTTGTGATAGAAATGGGAGTCTTCCTTGCTTCTTGCCTGCTGCGCTTGCTTTCTCGACACATAAGCTTAAGTGGGTTTGCAATAGTGCAGGGAGCTTACGGGGTTGGTGCTTGTCTGATGCTGCTTTGCAGCATCATGGGATGTCACAGGAGGTCCTGGTGTATCTGCTTGCCCTCACCAGTAAACCATTGCCAGGTCAGAGGTTCATCCCCTCTTATATTACTGCTGGCATGCAGCACATCTTTCCTCCAACCCAAACTAAGCTGTTTTTTCCCTGTGTATCCTGTACCCCCTGCCCTGTTTAGCTCTCTTTCAGTTTGGCCCTCATTAGGCATGCCACCATCTCTTAGGAGCAGCTGGCAAGCGTGAGTACGTGCGAGATCACCCACAGTCACGCAAGACCCCACCTCCCCTCCGCTTCATGAAATGGGCCAGTTCATCAGGAGACTTATGAAACACCTCAGGGAGGTTATTGCTTATTTTGAACATTAGTCCGAGCTCATGGTCAGCTGCCAATCAATTACCTCATGCCTGGCACAGCATGTAGACATGCACTGGGTGATGCCGGGTGGTGCATGGGAGCGGCAGGCAGCTTGGGGCACAGCAGAGAGGAGGACTGCCAAGTGCCACCCGCAGCAGGGCTCGGGCTGGGGGGGATGTTTCTTCCCATTGCATTACAGGCTTTCCGACTCATCTGCTTAGCGTTGCGTTATAAGCTGCTGCCTCATTTTTAGAGTGCTACAGCATGTGTGCCCTTACTCGAGCCTGCTTGCTGCTAGGCAGCGGCTGCCTTTCCCTGCTGTGGGCTGTTCTGCCTGCAGAAGGAATGGAGACTTCTGGTGCGCAGAGGCTGTCACTGTCCTGCAGATGGTCCATCTCCGCTGGCAGTCCCCGAGTGTGGCCGGAGGAATGCTACTGGGGCTATGCCATATGCAGGGGCAGGACTGTAACGCATCACAACTACGTGCTGTATGGCTTTGATGTTCTCATAGCTTTGTGTCTCTTGTTCTGGGTCAGGGAACTTATGCTTAGTACCTTCACATTGCCATTAGTTTGCTGCCTATTCATTCCAGCGTCCTGGACATTTAAGAATGGGGCCATGTGAGAAAGGGG